GATTTTTTTAAAACCCCCCTTTTTCCACTTCAACCCCCCCCCCCCCCCCCCCCCCACACACACACACACAAACAAAACGCACATCAAAACAATTCAATAGCATTACCAGTCACAGTTTAACGCATTGGCACATATCAATACATATCAATACCAATTGAATTCTTATCCCATTCTTTATCGCCTATTCGACGCACCTTCCACAGCCTTTCTATTGTTAAGATACTATATTAGAAACGCTATCTAAATAATAGGCATAATGTGAGTGCACCAACTTTGACATAATACATATCTGCCCATCGTAACATGTAACTAAGTAAGGTTCAATAAGCAGGTGCAATAAAAGCATGCTGCTATTTTCTATCAACAATTTAGTTAAATCAGAGCACTGGTAATACATACAAAGAGGTATACAGGAATTTGCTGCACAGAAGCACAGTTACAGTCTTTATCGCATTTTACTTTACATCATTATGACCTTACAACAAATGTAGCTACTCCTGGACTCGATGTTTGCTTACGGCAAGTGCTATAGTAATTCATCAGTCAGCTTACAATTCGATGTACGGCAAACCAAGAAGTTATAAAGATCTCTTTATAACTTCTTGGGCCAACACTTGTTGGTTTTATGGCAGAGTTGAAGCTATTGCGTAACTTAAAGAAAATAATTAAGGCAAGAAGAGACAGTCGAAGAGAGAGAGAGAGAGAGATCGCACGATAGATTCCCAACTGATGATGGTTCTATGATAATCTCAGGAACCTGCTGGAAAAACGAAACCAAAGTGAGCAAAGCTTGTGTAAAGTCACCCATCGGCTTTCAGACCCTCTGGTAGGTTTGCCAGGTCTTTATAGGCCTATACCCAAAGAAAAATTAAAGAGAACTCTACCCGCAAACAAGGAAATATAGCGGCACAAAACTTCGCACATGAATGCTATCCCCAGCCCCGGCATATTAGAAAATTTTAAAACGGCTTTATCTTTAAAGAATGTCAGCCTTAATTAATCAATTTTTTTCAATCCTTAAGAAGTATCTTAAACGTCTAGATGAGTACCACAGGCGGTACATGTACAAATAACCTGCTTGTCTGTGTCTCCGTCTCTTCCCCAAACATCGGTATAGGCCCTACTGGTACCTTTCTCGGCATGTATACCTGCAGTACACATGTATAATACAGTAGATATGCACTAGTGTATGTGGCGTACGTTAAGCACTGCATTGTACAATGTATCAGGATTTAACCGCCTCAGCATCAAACGGATTGCCGATATTTAGAGGCACTCATATAGAGCTTGAGTTCTTCAACAGAAGGATCGATATGCTGGCAACATGAGAACTAATTTATAGACCGTGTATTTATTTGTGGCTGAATTGTGTTTTGTGTACAGAAGGCATCAGCATAAGAAATTAAAAGCCCCAAAAAGACATATCCGTTTAACACGGGGGTAGATCCTGTTCAATCGTGCTAATGCTAATCTAATTGTGCATTTGATTTTTTACAAGAGATCACCCACCTTTTAGCCTACTACTACACTTGTAATTGTGATCGACTTTCCTAAGGTCACGATTCCGATGAAGTTAAGTGCGACTTGGTCTGTTACTAGGTCAAGGTCGTTTCTAAGATGTTTTCTTTATGGGCTTCCGCTATACACAGCTATAGCAATGTTATTATTGGTCACGCCCGCTAACACACTGAATTAGGCTACTCGGCTTGTGGGTGACAGGGGCGGATCCAGGATTATTTGAAGGGGTGGGGGGCGGGGTCCACGGATGCGAAGCCGCTCCCTCCCCCTTGACGTGGCCCTTCAATATATTTTGGCGAACGGCGCCATTTGATACAATTTAGAACTATATGATTAAGCCAGTCAAAATTGTAACTTCAAGACTGGACCATCGGTGTGATTTTTTTCAAAAATCCACCACTGGGTGATAGGGAAATTTGCACGTGTTTTTTCCGGTACATGAATTTTGTACATGAATTGTGTCCAGTGAATCACTAATTAATAGGAGCCGTTTTTTACAGTCATCGTGTATTTCAATGAGTTTTAAGATTCGTCAATGTGAACCAGACTCCATGGCAGTACACTGGGAGTGCGAGTCACCAAAGGCATTGATTGGGCAATGAAGATTTAAAGACATAATACCTTCAAACCTTCACAATTGATGTTGGTCATTTCGCAGTAGTTATTACTGGGTTCAATTAGTTTTTTTAGCTGATCTATATAACTTCCCCTTCAAGGTACCTGAATACTAAATAGATGTTCCTGCAAATATTACAAAGTTTTAACTGTTGGGTGGCAAACAACTCACACTTTTCTTTGTACATATCATATATTCTTAAGAAAATGAAGAGATTATCTAAAAAGCTGTACAAAATATTAATGAGCAGGCTTTTTCCTAAAATCTGTTGCTTTTTAAAATAAAAGATTAAAATAAAAGATTCCTTTCCTTTTTATCGATATAAAATGATTTTTCTTTAAATATTAATTCAATAGTCCATCATCAACAGATGATTTTTTAAACTAAATTTCATTTGCCAGACATGTAAATTTAATATGATATACCTTGATCTATAACACCCACAATTCAATTACGTATGCCATACAACTACACTGGCAGGTCACGTGTAAATTACTTGGCCAATATAAAAACGCTCACTATTCTGTCAATAATGACAAAGGCCCAATTGGGATCTGGCCTAGCCCAGTTAGTAACGGGAGTAGATTGGGATCTGCCCTAGTCCAGTTATTAACGGGAGTAAATTGGGATCTGGTCTATGACGCTGGGGTAGTTCTAAAAGACAAGATTATCCAGAAAAATTAAATAAGATTTGTACAGCCACGATTTAAATACGACTGCACACCGCGCTGTCAGCTCATCCCGGAACATATTATATTAAGTCTACTCTGTACGTAGGCTATATTGCTTTGCTTTCAAACATAGTTTGTATTTCACTTTCTACTAATCATCTATATATATATTACAATTGCCTATATTGCTATTCACGTATAACTGTGTTCTCCGCAGTATATTATATAACATGGCCACCAAGTATTGACTTATGGAGTTGACAAGAAAAGAGAGTCAGTATACCTGGCACAGGCATATATTATTTTATATTGATTTTGAATCATATTAAGGATGCTGCTCGTGAGTTAACAGCTCTCTCTCTCTCTCTCTCTCTCTCTCTCTCTCTCTCTCCGTGCTTTATCTACGTCCTTTACGGAGACTTGACAAGGGTTTTCAAATCTCCACAGAGTTGTCTGCTCGAGCTTTGACAGTGGATTTCGATTGCATTACATTAAGCAGATTTTAACTTCATGGTAAACGGCTAAATTGCAAATTCAGTTTGTCTTTTTTTTTTTTTTTTTTTTTTTNTGCGTAATAAGCATCTGTCTTATTCCGTTAGACAGTTTTGGTTGAAATAGCTTCACGCTCCCTTTTTTCCCGACGGGCGAAGGCATTGGACGTTGTCGTAGCTCATGAAAATCAGTAAAACTATCTTAGTGTCCTTTGTAGACAATGCATACACGTAATCAACGCGTCTTACGAGAACATTAATATTCTGACGGTCTTTTCAAAGTCGTGGGAAGACGACCTAAAACAAATGTGTCTAAATACAACAGACAACTCTGAAGACACTTTGCTCACAAAATCTTTTTATCCCAAAGAAGAAAAACAGGACAACATTAACTGCTAGTCACGTAAAGCTACCGGTCTATGACATCTCCTCGGTCAGTAGCACAGCGAGACTTAGGAATATAATCAGACATCGAGAACGAGGCACTGTGCTGTGATTTCGGCAACATTGGTCCGTAGACGCCTCCGCCTAGCTTGTAGTAGTGCTTGTAATTACACGAGTGATGCATATCGGAACTTCCTCGTACTCCGCTGGATAATTACAATGATTCGTATCAACCCCGGTCCTTGCATGTATCTCAGCTAAACATCTTGAATAGCGGCCACATCGTACGTGTACTCTTTCCAATTCATAAGCGTACTTGAACTGTTGCTCACCAAATATCACATTCAGGTAGGTTTTGGGGACTTTTTTGGGCATCTTCGCTTTGCTCATCATTTTTAATGCAAGCATTACTGAATTTGTTTTCTTAGTTAATCGTTTGAATATGAAAAACTTTGCACTTTAATTTTCTGTGACCGCAAAGAGCTATATGTATGTATGTATTTGTATGTATATATATATGTAATGTAAATATAGGCCTATGTATAGTGGTACATATGGATGTAAGTAGGCCTATATGTACTGTTAAACTGGTACGTTTATATATATATACTGGCAAGTAATCACATGTATATTGGTTTGTAAGTAGATAGATACTATCTATCTACAGTACTTACAAACCAATATACATCATAGCTAATGGTATGTGGGTATATTTAGGTATATGTAAACTGGTGCATTCCCGGAAACCTATACTGGACAACAAGTATATCTACTAGAGTAATTTTTCAGTTTGACCATTTTAATACTGGTATATTAGGAAGCGTCCTGAACGCACCCAGAACGGGCGAACGGTGTAGTCCCGATCAATCGGATTAATTATAGACTCTTTATACTAAGGGGTTAAAGTCACAGCAGTAGCCGATCGGTCTCCAGTCGTTTAAGCAGTCATTGTACCCCAGGGAACGATGTCCTGCATTTGCTGCGGAGCACACCTGATGGTGACAGGTAAAAGTAGGTCATGTTAAGGCACCTGGCGAGTCCTTTCATTTCGCCATTGATCGTACTGGCACGCTGTATCCATCGTTGTCTGGGCCTCGGCCTGTGGCGACCACATGTATCTGCTAGGCGCTGTGTTTTCTATCACTGTGGTTCAATGCAGTACCTCAGGTGGATAACCAGCAACTGCCAGACAGTGTGCGTGAAAACATGGCGACATGCATCCAGGTGTTAAGGCAGCGTTAAGCACTTAAGATAACAAGAAAAATAACGATGCAGAGACATGGAACTATGTTTTCGGACGCCTATGTACATTTACTCATTTCCCTGCACTACTAGTACACTGTATGTAAGCTGTTAACAATGTGGGGCTCCCCTTAACAGGTGAGTTCACACCTTGAGGTAGGCCTATACATGTGAGTAATGTGAACACCATCTTCCAGACTAGGTTTTCGAATGGTCAATGTCGAGTATAAATATGACACGTTCACACTGTTCACCCCTCCAGGTTCGCTACAGTGCTACACCTACAGTTTCTTGGAAGTCTATGAACGTGACGAGATGGGAAGAGAGCTAATACAGATGGGAGTGGCCTGTTAAGTGATATAGAAAAACTTCACATTGTGTCCCCCAGACTGCTATGGACATGTAATTTAGTGGTTTATGCGTCTTATCTATTCATTTTCAGCCTGCTCTTTTCAGTGCTTTTAGACTAAAGAATCCTCAGGAGAGTCTCCAAACTTCTTCATGATTTTAATATCAATATTTTTATTTCCACAAGATCTGAATTGATTTCAGCAACTCTTTATATGTATATTTTAAACGCTATTTACATTCATTATATTTTGAAATAATATTAATATAGAATATTTTAGTTTTTACGATGTTGATTTAAGTTTCTAGTGTAGGTTTTAGTTACCAACTTGGCCTTCTGAATTCTTACTGTAACATTTATTTGCATATGCATTGAGTTTACCCTTTACACAGAGGTGAGCCGCGTATGTGCGGGCTTGTTTATTATTATTATTATTATCAGTTGTATTTTTCCGACTGATTATGACTACAGGAACGTAAGCAGTAGTCTATTCACTTTCTTCTATAGAGTTTCACATTCGCGAAATCATACACATTGCATTCTATAACGCAGTTTATCTTTATTTTTATTTATTTATTTTTTAGACAACCGGCAGTGGACAGCAATATACCAGACATAAGGGGCAAACAGTGTCGTTCTGAGAGAGTTTTATAATGTAAATGTCAAGGCACATACATCAAATACCAGGATTTACCTGCAGCACGGGGAAAACTGACGTCAGGTAGAGATGTGCATGACGTCACAGCGCTTCTGAGCTACAAACCTAGTCAGGTCGCCACCTCATAGGAAGTCTCAGCGTAGACTGTGAAGAAATAAGCCACATTTTACGTACAAAAATTAAAAAAATACTTTTGCATTTTTGAATACAGCCATCAGACTCATAGGCAAAAGAACCTATCAATTCTGCCGGCCGTAACATGGTTCGAAAACATACACGCACAAAGCTTTATTGCGTCTGCCAAATCAGCGTTCTCATCTTAGCTGTGCAAGGAATGGTTTATTTCTTTTTCTTGGACAAACCGCGCTTGTTAAAAGCTGGACCTCGCCTGGAACAAGGAGGAACAGAGGTCACTTACGAGTCTTTATCGCCTGGTTTGATGCTCTCAGGCGGAGGAAGGCTATCGGTTAACTTGACTCAAGGAAGAGGAAAGCTAGTAAGTCTAGCACCAGGACAAAAGCGGGTCGAGCGGCCCCAGCCATTGGGACCTTACGAAGGACCTAATCAGTATTATGGAAAACACTCAGTGAAATATCAAATTAGTGCCCATAAACTTGAAGTTGAAGGAGCAAATTTACACGAGTTTAATTATTACATGAAACCAAG